CTTTCCCTTTCAGGAAACTCATAAGGGAAATTATGTCAGATAAACTGACTAAATTTAGTCCTTGGTGTGGACCCAAGGGTCTCAGGCTTCCTTTGGGTCACAGACTGTTGACTGTGGCTTTTATTTTTTTAATGTTTGTTGAATGGATCAATGAATGAACAAACAAATGAATGAACAAACCAATGGTCTCCTTCATTCTTACCACAGCCCCCCCCCCATTCTCCAAATGACTCACATAAGAAAACTGACCCAAACAGACCAGTTTTGCTGCACAAACCTATTCATTTGTCTAAATAGCAATATGGTGAATATGTAAAAATATCCTCAGCTATCTTCATAGCTTATTTTCATACTTCTTTCAGGTCTTTGTTCAAAAGTCATCTAACATACTTATCCAAGTGAAATGAAAACCTACATGCACAAAGACACCTGTATATGAATGTTTGTAGTGGGTTTATTTGTGATTGCCAAAAACTAGAAGTTATCCAAATGTCCTTCAACTGGAGAATGAATGAACTGTGGTACATTCATACAAGGAAATACCACTCATCAATAAAAAGGAACAAATTTCTGATATACACAACATGAATGAATCTCAATGATTCATCTTTCTCTTCTGCTAAAAGAAGCCAGACTCAAAGGCTGTGTACTGTATAATTCTATTTGTAGGACATTTTAGAAAAGGCAAAACTGTAGGGACAGAGAAAAGGTGGGTGGGGAGGGGTTGACTACTAAGGGGCATAGGACATATTTTAAGGTGTAGAAACCATATCTTGGTCATGGTGGTAGTTATAGGACTATACGCATTTGTCAAGAACTGTGCAACAGAATGGGCGAATTTTACTGTATGTAAATTATAGTATGAAAAATGGGAAAGAGTTGCTTAACCAATGAGATCCTCCCTAACCACACACTACATCAAATAGCTGTGGTTTTATAATAGATTGTCCTTGTTTTTAGGAAATATATACTGAAGTATTGAGGTATAGAGGATACCACATGTGCAACTTACTTTCAAACTGTTCATAAACAATAATGCGTGCGTATGTATGTATACGTGTATATGTGTTTGTGAAGAGGTAGAAGGAAAGAGAGGTTGAAAAATAGAGGAAGAGAAGGAGAGAGAACATATGATAAAGCAAAAATGATAAAACATTAATATTTGAAGAATGTGAATGAAGGGTATACAAGAAATATTTGTACTATTTTTGCAACTTTCCCATAGTTCTGAAATTATTTCAAAATAAAAGTTAAACAGAAAGTTAAACAATGTTTCATCCAGCCAACATGATGTAGTTGTTCAAATGAGGGAGAAAGAGAAAGCAGTGTCTGTTGAGGAGATGGCTGGGAGGTGCGACACGGGGTGGACCTGAGGACTTGAGATGATCTGACCTGGAGAGAAGAGCCCCATTGATCAGGAACAGAGTGACTCAGAGTAGACAGTCAGGGTGATGTTTGGTGGAGGGTGGCTGGAGCACAGGGCTGGTTTCAGAGAGCAGTGGCACGAAGATGGCGTGACAACTTGAAGAAAATAAAAAATTCAGTTCCTCGGTCACACTAGTCACATTTCAAGTGCTCATGGCCATGCATGTTTAGTGGCTTCCATATTGTGTAGACAGAGAGCACTGCTATCATCACAGAAAGGTCTATTGGACAGTGCTGGTCTAGAATGTCAAGTTTGAGAGTTAGGTCTCTGTCCTGAGTAACAGGAAGTCCTGACACAAACGGCAGTCCAACTGGGCTAGAGGACCCCTGGAGGGCTTTCTGGTTCCAGGGCACAAGAATATCCAATTAGGAGGCTATTGCCATACTCTTAGGAGAAACACATCAAGGTCCAGCCTTGGCAAAGGCAGCAGAAAAGAAAATACAAATAAGAGACGGAAGAAAAGTTAAAAGAATTCCGGGGCTAAACAAGAGGGAGGAACAAAGATTTCTCAGGGACATCTTGCTTGAATAAATGGGAAAAATTTTATCGATGGAACGTGGAATCTAGGAGTGAAAGATGAGGAGTTTGGCTTGGCTCAAGAGAACGTGGTCGATGAAAGAGTTTAATCTGTGTATTGGCTAGAAGCCCAGGATCAGAATTCTAGAGATAGGTGGTGGAGGCTGAACGAGAAAGATTTCAGGATCCAACACGCAATCATTAATGGAAACTGTGAGGATGGGTCAGTTCTTTGGGGAAAAGAGTACAGTGAAAGATGAGAAAGGGCCAGGGTCTGAGCTGAGCTGATACTCTCAGGGAGGAGCTGGGCTGAAGGAGAGGGGCTGTGGAAGGACTGTCCCTGCAACCCAGGGTGGAGGAGGATGGGTACTGGGGAGGTACGACCAGCATCAGGTGATGGGTGGTATTTGAGAGGGCAGGTTCTGTGGGATGGTGGGGTCAGAAGTTGCTCTAGAGTAGATTCTCAAGGACACAGCTAGGGAGTCAACTAATCCATCAAGAATTCTGGAGGTGAACGGGACAAAGAGAAGCAGGGTGAAGAAGAGGAAATGTCAAGCTAACGTTTCTTCCAAGGTGAGAGAGAAGAGAACAGGTGTGAAAGCAGGAGGCTAGGACTAGGTGGAGAGGGAGAGCCCAGAGACGCTGGCAGGGAAGGGCCTGGGAAAGCCAGATCCCTCGGGAGTGCGTACTGGATGGGATACGGACCCCTCAGAATTGGCCGAGCCACAAAGCCCCTGCTCCCCCGCATCCAGGGCAGCTGGAAGGGAGACGGCACAACTGGAAGAGAGCAGCCCTCAAGGGAAGGAAAGAGGGGCTCCTACCAGAGCCGGGATCTGACCTCCTGGGAGAGGGAAAGCCATCTCTTCAGAGGAACTGTGTGGAGGGCTGTTGTTATGGGCTGAGTGGTGTCCCCCGCAGTTCCTATGTTGAAGCCCTAGCCCCCAATACCTCAGAATATGACTATATTTGGAGACAGGAACTTTAAAGAGGTGATCAAATTAAAAGGAGGCTGTTAGGGTGGACCCTAATCCAAACCGACTGGTGTCCTTATAAGAACAGGAAATTTGGGTACACGGAGAGACACCAGGGATGCACACGCAGAAAAAAGAGCCGTGTGAGGCAAGAAGCCCGCCACCTGCAGGCCCAGGAGAGAGGCCTCAGGAGAAACCAAACCTGCGGACACCTGATCTCAGACTTCCAGCTTCCAGAACCATGAGACAATACCTTTCTGATGTTTAGGTCACCCAGTCTGCGGTACTTTGTTATGGCAGCTCTAGCACACTGCAGCTGTGGATGAGCTCTGGGGGCAGGGAAGGAGGGTGCCAGCCCCTGGAGTGGTGGGCTAGGAGTTAATCAGAAGGCAAACAAGGGCACAAAGTGAAAGCAGATGACTCCAAAGTGCCCCCCTATACTATTCTTGGGGGCTCTGGGTAAACCTACCTGGCCAGAAGTGGAGCCTGAACTAATCGCAATATTTCTATGTTACAGTTAAATAAGATTGAAGGCCGAAGTTTTATGGTAGTTCTACACATTTCGAGCGCCTCCTGTTTGGTTAGCATTTGAAACTGGTTTGGTTGCTATCAGTAACAACTATTTGAAACATTAACAATGTTCTGTATCCTCTTCTATACATATTTTATAGGACCATCTGCTGAAATCCATTAATTGCGTTCTGGGCTTAGGAGAACATATTTAATGGATTAGAAAGCAGAGTCACTGGATTCTAAACCTGGTTTCTCGTAGAGAGCTAGACTCAGCAAGTTGAGTTTCTAACCCATGATGTCATCATCCTTTTTCTCATTGGGTTCTTACCCCAACCAAACACAAGCAGGGCACTTCACGTTGTTTCCATTTCATGAAAAAGGAGATGGATTTGAATAAAAGTCAGATGACTTGCTGGGTTTATAAAACGACATGTGGCCAAGTTAGAAACAGGACTTAACCCTCTTGCTGCCCAGTGTATGGCTGCTTTCCTCCTGTTGCCTCTTGACTCCGGCTGACCCTCTGCCCCATCCTCAAATCAGGTCCTTGAAACCTTTCTCTGTCCCTTTGCAGAAACGCAGTGGGTGTAGGCTCTGGCACCGGACTTGGGTTTGAATACTGCCCTGTTACTTCCTAAGCTGTGTGACTTATAGCCTGTTATTTAACCTCTTGGAGCTTCAGTTTCCTCATTCAAAGAATGTGGGAAGAATAAATAAAATTTGTTGTAAAGAATTAAGCTACATTGTAAAGAAGGTATAGCAATAAAGTACAAGCTGTAACACCAGCCCTACCACCCATTCACCTTTCTTCCCCAAACGCATCCCCAGAGGACTGCTCTGTACTTTCCTTCATGTGTTTAGTCTCCACACTGTTGGTCAGGTCAGCTTTATGCCTACACGAGGTCACTCATGCTGCACCTGAAGCTCCTTCCCCAGTTCACGTCCTCAGTAGAGGGAAAATTCTTGCTGCTCCAGATGCCCAAGCTCTCAGTACTTCTTGGGTCACTAACTAGTTTCTTTTCCTCTGGATGCACCTTTCTTATTATCTTATTATTGCTGTCAGCCCTTTGTCCCTCACCCCCTTCTCCAGCACCCCAAACTTTCTGTGC